GTTCTTCAAAGGCAACTAATTTATTGTAGCATCTGCCTTTAGAACACGCACTCGCCCTCGAACCTTTCCATTCTCCTCGCAGCAGAAGAGGGAATGCTCTTCATTTTTTAATCAGCGAAAATCTTAACGTAATTCAGCGGTATTTTTCAGTGCGGCTTGAGGTCTTGCCAACATCTTTGCGTCAGATCGACCAAAAATCGCTTCGAATGCTTCTGTGCGCAAGGATACACGCTCAAAGGAGAACGCTGTCAAGGTATCTTTTTGAAAAATTGTTTTGCAAAACCCTACTTTGCAAGCCTCTAAGAGTTTCCCGCGTTTCACTTGCTAAATGTTCTTTCCAACCTTTCCAGTGAGCTCGGAGACGCTGCTGTTAGCGGGCGATAAATTGATCTCGACTGTGAACGGCTCCAACCCCGCCTTCGTTTTGCATCCAACTATCGCTTTCAAGCAATGGAGAAAAATCGCTATCGACCACAGAAATGATTTGGTAATCGATTTGCTGTCTTTCTTCATACGCTTTTCCTTGTTCGATAGTTTTCTTACTATAAGCCCGACTAAAAAGCGGTGGGCGGTACGGTCTCGATGACGTCATTGAACGTCATTGGTGGAAGACCCTTGAGGCGGTCCCAACCACACCCCAGCGCATTGAGGGTCTTTTCCACCAATGCGTTCAATGACGTCATCAAAACCGCACCGCCTTCCATCCATCGTGATCACTGCCTTTAAGGTGTATCTGGTCTCCGATTTCGAGTTATGGGTAGCGCACCTGAATGGATCGTACGCAGAACGCCTTCTGAACAGCGAAGACACTCTCACTGCTGTCGCTGTGGACACGGTCACAGGTTAGTATAAGCCTTCGATTGATGGTCATTAAGGCAATAGACAGCATGAGAGTGTGTGCGGCGGTGGTCAGGGAGACCCTGACTGAATACTTGATAAGTGCTCTGTGCAAACTTTCTTTAAGAACTTTGAGATTTCAATAAATAAGAACCATATTTGAATCGTGCCATCTATGGCCAAATCGCGAAGTCCGAGCGAAAACAACATAATTGCTACAAGCCCAACGGTTATTTTTTTGCGTTTTACTTAGAATTTTTCATTTTTTACAAATCTAGCGGGAAAATGCCCTCCCTTCTTATCCAACCAAACTCCTCCCACCCGAAAGGCTCAGGACATACGAACGCAGCGTTTTTTCCTATTTTCCACCTGACATACATTCACGCGTGTACCAGACCCGAAAACCCATACACACATGGCACAGCGAAGCTCCGCCCAGACTCACGCAAGCACCGCCCAAAATCGCTCTAATTGTGACATGTCCGATCCCATCTTTCAGGGAATGTGTCGGGCCGCGGGACATTCTAGCGCGAGCTGTCGTGAAATCTTCATAATGGATCCGAGGCGGTTCGTGAAAGATAACCTAAGGGTTCGACTGTTGGTAGACGTTGATGGTCCAGTAAGGCATATGGAAGTGGGATCCAGCAAAAGGGTAAGGTTTATTGATTCTTTTTCTGTTTTATTTTTTGTTTACGTGCTAAAATTCTTATTCTTAGGAAAACAAAACCTTCCTAAGACCAATAAAAATGCTAACCCTCTTTTTTTGTTTGCAGGCTAATTTTCTGGTCACGTGGTTGTATAAAGAAAGGCGAATTATGATGGTTCGAACGCCACCTGTGTTGTAAACGCGACAACCACACAATTCGCCTTGGACACGGCGACGTCGCGACTTGTGCTTCTTGGAGAAATCTGGCGAGATCCGATGTGTTGACTACGATGGTGGCTCGAACCAGGTTTGGACTTAAAGACACATTCCACGACGTAGTGAATGGCGTCCAGATATAAAAGTGCATCAACTGCGAGTGCGCCAGTAGAGAAAAAAGCAAGAGAAATTGCATTATGGTCCAAACATCCATTTGATTTGGGGCATTGTACGGGCTTACAACGAAAAGAATTCGCGCATTACGAGAAATTTTGGCGAGGTGGCGGCGAGGTAGAACAGCGACGAGAGAGACGCAGACATCAACGCGGCGTCTACCCACGGCATAGATGGCGAGCAGGACGAAGTTTGCGATCGAAATAGGTCTCTAAAGATCTTGCCGTTCTGCAGGGGGCCATGAAATGACACGATCCAAATCTAAATATTTTGAAATTTTTGGGCAGTAGGTTACATCACAGAAGTAGGAAGGCATATAACTATGTGCATTTATTATGACTCATTTCTCAGTCATTATGGAAAGATGCATTTCCAGGTCGTCGCCTTCTTCTCAGTGGTTGACACCGTTCAATCAGAAATCGTCATCGGAGATGAAAATCTCTACATTATTCAGAGGTAGGGTAACCTTCAAGCTAGTACATGTGAAATTAAACCCGTCTTAGTGCGCCCGCTAGGCCCTCGTTGGTAAAATGCGGTTCCAAAGGTGCAGGGCAGTTTCCCGGAAAGATCTCCCAGTGAAAAACGAGCTAAGCTGCTCTGCTCATGCATAATTGCCTACAGTCCCAGCGACTTTTTGGAACACCTTCAGTGGGCAGGCATTGCCTACTGTCTTCAGCAATTTTTTTGGAGGAAGACCTTCAGTGGGCGGAGCGTGAGCTCATTCCACAACAACTGAAGTTTTCATTTGAAGATGGCAATAGTTCCTCAGGACGAAGCAGCACACGGCTGTTGCATCGTCCATGGGATTGAGGAAGTAATCACGGTGACGTCATCAAAACCGCTCCGCCCTCCAGCCATCGTGCCTTTAAGTAGCTTTTAGGCTGCCCACAAAAAAAGAACCTGAAGCGAGCAAAAGCAATGCAGTTGCTCGTGATAATGAAAATCTGAGAGATCGCCCGGCATTAACAACCTCCTCTTTTTGTAAGCTGCGCTACGCTTCCTCCAATTTCCGTTCCACGTCACGGCGGCTTCTAAATGGGTGTTTCGCCCATTCAATAAACCAGGGCATGGATTAATTGTGTGGACCAAATAAAGAGGGAAGGGGAAGAGGGAGGGGGAGGGCATCTATGAGCACATCGGCTTCCTTCCTCTCACCGGACAAGTTACAATGGCTCAAGTGGGGATGATTGATGACAGTCTTCACTGGAATAGGCAAACTCCGAT